ACATTAAACACTGTATAATAACGTCAACTATTTGAAATTTGTGCAGATATTAACCAACACTAAAATGTTTCATAATATTACTTTAAATAATTTTAGAGAGGACAACAAACCAAATTAAATGTCCACATCAATTTTTACATGTCTTACCAATGCTACCTTTCTATATGAGGTACTTGGTACTGCATTTAAAGAAAAAAAACAACAAACTATGATAAACACACTAGTCTAGTATTAAAAACAAGTAGGCATATAATCAAACAACCCAGAAATGTTTTGTTAGTTATACATTTCAGTTAGTAGCTTAGTACTAAAGTCAAACTTCTTTTAAATACATAGACCTATTCATATCCATTGGAATATACACACATTTATAAACCTAAATGCAACGACACGTTCAGCCAGGTGCCATTGTTGATATACATGAGTGAATTCCAAGCTAACTTCCAAAGGTTCTCTAACACTCTGGGAACATCTTCATTATACTCTCTAATTGACTTAAACATACTTCATATCAACTGTTTAACACATTTTAACCCACAAATTAACACCCCTTGATTATTCAGATTAACCTATCTTCTGTGAGTCAATTACATGACAAAAATAAAATAAACTTTAAAAAAATTTATGTTTAAAAAACTAAAATGGAGAAGGGGGAATGCTTTTTAAAAATAGCCTATAAATGTATATCACCATAAGGCAGGAAGACATCGCTATAAGGTTCAAACTTTCAGAGAACTGCAAAGCTCACATGAGACACAGTGGTCGTGAGAACAGGGGTAAAGAGGTGACTCGGGGAAATAATAAGTCGGTATTACTAAAGAGAAATATAAGGTGGATTATATACAGTACCATTAATACGTTCACAGGAACGACAACAAAAAAATCCCAGATAAGATAAAGACCCTTAAAAGGTGTGAAACAAGCTTGAGAGAACACCGACACAATTGAAGTTAAACAAACAAACAAGAAAAACATAGCAACAGGTGTAATGACAGCGAAAAGGATTTACCTTTTCGTCTCTCTTGCTTAGTGCGTTCGTTGCCTTACTCAAACTCAATGAAAGTTCATTGATGATTTTTGCTGCAAAGACAAAAGAGATCGAGTGAAGACAACCAGCAAGGGGGGAAAATGCAAAAATAAAAACAAAAATTTCTAAAAGATGAGGCAGGACTGTTCATTAGAGCTGATTCTCAATACTGTCTAAAGCTTTATAATAATCTGTCAAAAAAAAAAAAAGAAAAAAGGAAGTTTCTCTAATTCTAGCCATTCATCTCTCCCCTCAGTCAAAGCATTGAACTTAACACTTCATACATCTTCCTGGATTAGCCTCATTTTGATTCAAGGATTTCAATCATTCAAACAATCTGCCTTATTTTATTCTTGTAACTACAAGTTATTAACTGTCACCGTCCCTGTATTTCCTCTGGCACAGTGCTTCCCACAGTTGCTTTTTAACTGTCTACTCAGATAAACTCTAAGCTTTCAAGAGGGCTACAGCCAACTCTGTCTTGTGTCTCTTGTAACAGAGTGGGGGACACAAAGTAAACACTCAATAAATACTTGTTGATTTGAATAAGTGAATGAAAGCTATATATGTACTATATCAGTGTGTGAGTGTGTGAGTGAGTGTGTGTGTGTGTGTGTGTGTGTGTGTGTGTGTGTGTGGCGGGGTGGGTGTTGCCTCATCACTAATTTTTAGTGGTTTTTTCTATCTTCCCAGTAGGCTCTAAGTTGCTCTAGGGGCAATCATTTAACTTAGAACATAAACATATTATTCTGTGGTACTTAAATACAGCTTTGGTCACTAATATGAAAATTCTAAAAATTCAGAGCTGAATAAAATCAAGGAAATTAAAGAAGACTTGGTGATGAAACCAGTAACAAGAGCCAAGTAAATACCATCCTAGGATAATAAAATATTAGGAGAACTATGTTGCAAATATTATCCACCACTAAGCAGCACAATTACCGAATATGATCTCAAATTAAGAATTTGTTAATGTGTGGCGAACATTCGTTAGTTTATGGGTAGGCAAGTACTAAAATGATAAACTGAATAAGAATGTGATTTTTTTCCCCTCTGTTACTACAACCAAGGGTCTTAAACCCCTGATGTATCTATCTATATATCTATAGCTATAGCTACCTCTAGATATAGTAGTACTTGATCAATCGTCTTGGAATCAAGTATCTAATAAATGCCTACCTTGCTTATATTAGATCCTAATGACACAGGAATTAATAGGTTTTTGCCCATGCTTTTAGTTTATCTTGCAAA